CCATTTATTAAAATTATTAACATTTACAGCGGGTATAAACAATTACTAATACATTATTCTGATAATGAGAGATAATGAGCTCATATATATGTTACACATATGAAGAGCATCTGAACATTTCCAGAAATATTTATCCCTCATGATCCAGTGCTGAAGCCTGGAAGCCTAAAGTTAGCAACTGTCTCAAAAGTGAATGTAAAATTCAACTTTTATTTTATCTGGACCTTCCACTATTCATTTCCAACCGGCCCATTAACAGTTTTATTTAGACTCATTATAAACTTTTTTTGAAGGTAGGGTGCAAATACAAATAGTGCTTTATTATTTGATTAAGTGGAAGTTTTTATAAATATAATTTTGTTTTAGACGACTTGCTAACTTTTGCTGTAGCTTATTATAACGTGATAAACTCTTTTATTAATGACTTAAGTGACATATGTGATTGCAGAACTCATGGTTTAGTAGCATTTTTAATAGGCTGATTATTAAATCACGTGTAAGAGTGTTTTTTCACAACCTGCAACACAAGAGTTGCTCTTGATTTAAACATATAGCATTGGTAAATTATTAAATTATTAATAATGATATTAGTTACAATTCATAAATAATAATGGGTGCCTTAATTGAAAGTGGTACCAATTTTTGCTATTTCATTTTAAGACTGAAAGAGTTACAGAGGAAACGGATACAAAGCAGTCATTTTGTTGTTCTGCATAATGCTACACAGTGAACCACAACATAATGTTTCTACTGTGAGAAATCAATCATGTCAAATTAAGCTACCTGGACACTGAATGGATTGGACACTTTGTTCTCTGCCATACAAAGAAAAATAAAACCTGGTCCACTCCAGTAAGCAGCACTTCCTGACTCTCAGTCCCTTAACAACCCTCCATTGGTCTGACTGTCGACTGTGTTTTGGCACTATTGATCCACACGTGCAGGCTTGTCTACCTCTCTGTTCACCTCTCTGACTCTTCTTATTTGTGTAGGGGTACAGGCATCACTGATGGCGTGTGAGGAAAATATCATGTGTGGTTTATAAACCGTGGAACATCAGCACCGAAAGTGTCATTGCTAACCATTAAATCTGGTTAATGATTTGGGAGCAAAAGATCTTCGGCCTTACTGAGTTCTAACATCGTCCACACTGCACTGCAGGATGCATCCATGACTCACTCCTTTAGTCATGCGCTGTCTCGGTTGTCTTCACTAGACCCACGGTCTGACATTTACTGCCTGTCACTGTGCACCTGCTTTCATCTGAGGAGACAGCGGGGCCTTTCTGTTCTGGGGTAGAGAGGACATGTCCTCCACTACGCTAAATTGGATGCTCAGGCGTGCCACCTACATGCTCTAACCAACTGTTTTTCAGTGATGCCATGACAAAAAGATTAAAAACTTTCAGAGGCTTCTCTGAGAACACAGGAAAAAGTCCCTCTAGACTAAAAAAACTACTTCCCACACACTGCTTCATCACTTGTATTCACTGAGTTTCTTCAGACTGTGTGATGAAGTGATGTCCAAAACTGTTTAGTGAAGCTAGCAGAAAGAGGGAGGCTTTTGTGACAATACAATTACAATGTTTCCTAATTATGAAATCAAACTTTGATATTAACCCCCATTCCTGTTTAAGAGTAGGCTTAAGACTTTTCTCTGATAAAGCTTATAGTTAGTGCTGGATCAGGTGAGCCTTGAACCATCCCTTAGTTATGCTGTTATAGACCTGGACTGCTGGGAGACTTTTCATGATGCACTGAGCTCCTCTCTCCTCTTCTCCTTCTCTATCTGTATGCATTCTTATCCCATTAATGCATGTTATTAACTCAACTTCTTCCCCCTCCCTTAGTTTTGTGCTTTCACGACCCTCTCCTCTCTCCTTTGTTGCTTTCTGCAGGTGTTTCTGGCTCTGGAGCTGTGGAGTCTGGATCAGTGGTTGTGGGTCGCCTGCTGCCCCCATGTCTCCATGACACCTGCTGCCACAATTATTATCGTAAGTCCTATTATTATTATTATTATGATTATTGTATCATTATTACTATTATTTTTATTGCTATTTGTATTATTATCCTTAGTCATAGTTCTGCTTGAGGTTTCTGACTGTTAAAAGGGATTTTTTTCCTGGCCATTCATGGTTGCTCATGGTGGGAAATGTTGGGTCTCTGTGAACAGTATTACAAAGTGTACGGTCTAGACCTGCTCTATATGAAAAGTGCAATGAGATAACTTCTGTTATGAATTGGCGCAGTATAAACTTTGTCATGAATGTACAGGTTCCCACAAGATGTTTTTCGTAATGACTTTGGTGATCCCTTGACTTCATCATCACATCAAAATGTAAATTAGTCAAATACTTTGGACAAAGATTTTCACATCAACCTCAGCTGTACTTTGTGTTTAGCGCTAATTAGCAAAATGTTAGCATGGTATCACACTAGACTACAAAGATGACTATACCTGCTTAACATCAGCATTTTCTCAATTCACATAGTTGTGAATATTACCTCAGTGCTGTTGTCTACCTACCGGCTGATTCACCTCTCTGTGTCTCGCCCCATCTTGGTCACATATACTGTATTGACTGTGCTCTGCTTCCACTGGGCACCCAGATCAATAGGAGTGCACAGGCTGTCAGTAACCTCTACTGTCATCCCAGTGTAGTTTACGCAAATGGTAAATGCACTTTGGCCCCATTTATAAGATTGCAAAACCCCGCACTGCACAATCCCAAACAGAATACTATATAAATAAAGCAGAGGGAAGTTTTCTTAAACTTTGCCAGAAGCAAAAAAAAACTTCGCATATCAGCATGTCCTTTTAAAGTATTATCAATTATTTAATATTTGTGTGGGCTTGAAAGGATAGTAGGTCTTACCTGAAATTCGTAATTGATTTGTTACCCACCGAGCAGCAGAGCCCATTCATACAGTATGGACGTGGCAAACAACACTTTTGAAGGAAACAATTTTCTTATTACTTTGTTCAGTGCTTTAAATTACATCTGACAATGTACAGTCTATCTTGATTCTTCTTTCACAAATGAACTCAATCTACAATGTGATTCTGATTGTTGAGTCACTGGACTGGACCTCACTTGTTAATGACACACATCTTGGTAATTTACCAAGGAAAACACTTAAACAACTGGATATACCCAGTTGTTTAATAAAACTATCCTTAGTACAATAAAACAATTTAAACAATTTTAACCTGGCCGGTCACTGGAACATGTTCCAAGGCAAAGCAATGAGGAGCAATTAGGAACAGCTGTGGAGTCCAGATGATGATCTGACAATATGCGCTCTCACAGGGTAAAACAAAATATTAAAAATATGATTCCTACTTATAATACTACTTATGTGAACAACACACTGATCTGTCTATGGACACAGGTTCATCCTTTCTATATTTAAAGTGTGTATCTTAAATAATCAAATCTGACTCCTTCATAGGCCTGCAACAACGATCATACATTAACAGTAATTTAAGTGCTTTATAATGTCTTTATTTTCTGGCCAGACAGTGACAACTATGAAACTGTCCCATGATTCTGAATAAAACTGCTTGAATGTTGCCCTCTTGTGGATCTCTGTGATAAAGTAACTGAAACTGTAACTGAACAAAATAACAGTAAACCTGGAAAACATGACTTTGGTGTTGACACACACACTGACGAGAAGGCCACATCTGTACATTATGTCAAAACAAACACACCCTGCCTCTCTGCTCTTTGAAGGCAAAATGTGATTTTACAATCCCTTGAGTGTATGAATGCATGTGAATGTTACGCACAAAACCGTGTGTGCATGGACCTGCATGTGTGTGTGTGTGTGCGTGATTCCACTGTCAGCCCTCACATCTGGAGCCCACTACAGACCTGGTGCAGGATCAGAGAACTATAGCTGAGATCAAATCTGCCTCTTTGTCTTTATTAGTGCTTTCTGTGACCATGATTAATGAACGCTCCGTCACGATAAGACCAGCTTTCACACCCCCTGGTGCCAGCTCAGAACTTTAACCCCCTCTGGCTCAGGTTGCTCAGATCCCTGAAATCACAGCTCGGTCAGAGGTCTCGAGTTAGTCTGCACTGGATCAAATGCCTGCTAGATCGAGGAAGACAGGGATGTTGTATAGTTTGCTGGTAGTGTGAAACATATAAACATGTTAACTCTCTTCCAGAAACATTTATTAAAGGCCGACTCAACCTTACAATGTCGACAAAATTAATATCAAAAAGGCATTAGGGACTTTACAAAAAGTATTTCTGTGGGGAGGGGGCTGAAACGCATGTTTAATTGATGCAATTTGTTCAACCAATAATAACTAAAAGTGATTTAAAATGGTGAACTTTAAACCACAGCCACCAAATTGCTTGGTTTGTCTTCTTTATATATCATTTCATCTACTCTATTTTAACCAACCGCTAATAAATAAATAGTTAGCACTGTAACCAACACTGTTACCTTTAGACTAAGGGTGATGAAAGAAACTAAAAAAAGTCAGAATGCAAATGCAACAGGTGTTACAATCTACATTGTATATTCATACACATATCTTCATCAAAACAAACTGTCCCTGCTGTGCATTCAGTAGGACAGCATGGTGCACAACTGCAGCTGCAGGGGAGGACTGGTGAGAACTACAATGAAGATGTGTTAAAGACTGCAAGACCCAAATATTCCAGAGCAGCTGGACTCAGTGTGCCTCTCTCTTCTCCATGTAAACAATGGGCCCTGCAACGTTAAGTAAAAACACATGAGACTCGTTTCTGTTCAAACTATCTCCGTTGTTGTGTTTGCTGACAGGCTCTTCTGCATGAAGCGCATTTTTGAACTTCTGAAGGGTGCTGTGAAAGGGTGCTATTAGTGGTGTTTCAACCCTGGAGAATTTCAGACCATTCAATGACCACATTTTTTCAGCTGGAGCCTTATTTTCTAGATTCTTTATCATAAAAGGAATAAAAACGAACAGAAAACTGAGACTGTGACCACAAATCGATCCAGATTAGTGTTATTATTTGAACATTATGGAGTCAGTCTGATGTCAAAATCAGCAAATGTCAATGGTTTTCCTTGGATTGTTCTATTAACAGTGAAAGAAAAGAAAAGACACAGAAGAATGATAACAGTGGACAACAGATTGATCAGTATTGATACACTGTATACTGTAGCTCTATATTTTTAATCACTGCAGTATGAGACATGCTTTTTACTCTGCCAAGCTGTTGTCCTCTGCTTTTACAGCTTGCTCCATGGGCTACACATCACTCCCAGCCAGCAGACTCGCCTGCCAGGGGAAATAAATAGAATAATGGAAGTCAGATGATTATGTGACAATGATGTTATGGGAAATATTTCAAGCTCAACATGTTTCCAAAGTGATATAGATTGATTTGTAAAAAGAAAGAGAAAACAAAGAATTACACATTATTTGATATCTGCAGTAGGTTCTTAACAGGAGTCTCAGATCAGTCACGGCACCCAGACAAGGGATGAAGTTTCTGTCACACAATAATCCATTACACAGAGAGGCCAAAGATAAAAAGCTAAATTTAAATTGGCTAAATAAGGCACTTAATGTGACATACTTTGTGTCTGTTTTCATGACTATGTTCCTATAGACCTGAAAGAGCCTGTCCCAGATCCTATTAACCCCTTTGTTCCTTATCAACCCCTTTTCTGCCAATGCTCTATCTCACGGTGGGAGGTTAACGTCAGGTTGCACAAGGACACAGACCACACAGATGTGCCTATTCATTCAGAAACACACACACACACACACACACACACACACACACACACACACACACACACACACACACAGAGCTGGCTGTTTCTCATAAGAGGTGCCAAACTCTCAAAAACAGCCCTTTCGGTGAATTTATGTTATTAACTTCAGTCAGTGCTCATGTGAGAATGCTATCTCAGTTTGACAGAACTGGAAAATCCCTTATTTTCTCCATTTCTCTGCTATCTGCCTCATTCTTGTAAAGCAAATATTGTGTGTTGCTAATAAAATAAGGAGCCATCCACAGCCTGGTGATTAGAGAGGAGGGGCATTTGAGGTATCTGGTTATCAGGCTCAAATTTTGATGAATTTTAGCTAATGCTACAAGAAAAGTGGGTACAACTGCTGCTGAATTGCCCCAGAGCATTAATTCTCTAAATCTCCTCTGGATTTTTCCACTGAAGAGACAGGGAGCCCTAACAGTACAAGACAAGAAATAAAGAAATTATGGCAACAGTATAATTGTTGCAGATAGGCATACAGTATATTTTACATTCATTTTGTAGATAAGGAAAATGACATAGAAAAGTCCTTATTTACCAAATGAACTGTATTTTTACTCCCACAGGACATCTTTACCAACAACAAAGAACAGATTACTATAGCAACCAATTTTCAATACGATATAAATAAACCTTAGAGGCAAATTCAGTATTTAACAAACCGAAACCAGGGACATGCACAGACATTTAATGGGCAGTGTCCACATCATACATCACATACTAGCATTGTTACAGCACCGATCACGTTACTGAATAAATGTATAACATCATTAGTGCATTCTACAATAATTAATTGATTAATGCTAATTAATTGAGACTAAACTTGTACTGTAATTTGCCTACTGAATATTTCCATTGGCCAATGCCTGAATAGACTGTAACAAGTTGTGTACCTCTTGATTTGACTAATTGGTGCCTTACAGTGTAAAAGTGCTCCGGGGAGTTTTCATATTTTTTCTTGCCTTTCTCACTTCAAAGGTAGAGAGTTAAAAAGACAATTACATTGTGTTACAGACCTCCACTGTCGGCTTTCAACAACAGATAGTTCACTCTTCAGCCCTCTCTGCAGTTGACTGACTTGTTTGTCATCAGATGGTTTTGATTAAAGTAATGAGATTGAATACTTTTAATTCATCCCTGCTTGCTCAAATCATTGTTTGTTCATGACACCATCTCCTTGGTACTTGCATTCTGCATTTTACCGTGATGACGACCTTCACAATTCCAAATTTACAGGGAACAGTAAAGACAGCCGAATAACAAAAGCACGTGTTGGACATTTACACAGAGCAATTGAGGGCTTTACCACAAGAAGCTTGCCCGCTGTCCCCATCTGCTCCTGCTTACTGGTACCTTTACAGTTTTAAAATCACCACTTCCCAACCATTTCCAAACAGCCTGTTCTGTAGAATAAAGCCCACCTTGTTAAAAACTCCAGAATTTATTTGTTGCCTGAAGTCCAATTTGTTCAGTATTTGTTTATATTGCATCTCAAATATCTTAATTGGGCCCTCAGTGCCTCTGTCAGGTCTCAAGGTTAACCTGTATGTCTGCACTGCCTAATCGTCCTCATAAAAGAATTGTGAACGATGGCTTTTTATTTGGGTCAGTGACCAAGGGAACACACCCGGTCTGTCTTATATTTTCTGCATGTATATTCTTTTAGCAAGGCGAGGTAAAGGAAACTGTAAAACAACAGGTATTTTCATCCAAACAGTTTGATTGGCCAAGGACGTGTTCCAGCCATACTTACAATTCCTCATAAACAAAGCTGATGTTACTTTAAAAACAAGAAAGTGGTTGTAAGGCTAAGTTCTTGTGGTAACCAGGAAACCTTTGTTGATTTTAATGTCGGTTGTAAATCCCTATTTTGATCAGCCACCCTGTGGTGATTAGAGAGGCAGTTTCAACTGATGCCTTTATGTTTAGGGATACAAAAACGTTAACCCGAACTGACGTTTACCACCAGTAGTTTTTCATTATTGAAGGCTGTGATACAGCCTCTTCATTCTGAATAGGATTAAACTACAATAGCTAGTAACGACTCCAGGTTTCTGTTGATGGGAATTCAGTGTGTCCTGTCTTATACTCCTGTCCTGCTCTGTGTACACTTGTCTGTAGACTGTCCTCAACTGCAAAAAGACATCACCAGTTTGTTCAAATGCTTAAAATGATAGTGTAACCATTTTCCAGAGAGGTGAACTCTTGAGTTAGTGCAAAAACATGAAGCAAAGAAGCAGCGAAAACTGTGGCATGTCATGTCATAATGCTTTTATAACGCTGTAGTACCTTGTAAGAAGGTGTATGTAGGTGTATATCAGGGATACAAAGTGTCTGAATTTTTGCACCATAGACTGTGGTTTGTATCCTGTCTCTTACCATTTCTTTCCACCACTGCTAAGCAGCATCATCACCCTTTGTGGAGAAAACATACAAACACACAAACAACACAACAAAGGCTTCCCATAATCCAAGTGACAAAAAAGAGGGGCTCATTGTAAATGGGTGCAGTGACATAAACTCTGTCACCAGACACAACAAAGGGGGAAAGCCCCTTACCCTAACCTTAACAATCATAACTACGTGCCTAACCTTAACCCTCACCCTATCCCTAATCTTACCCTGAAACCTAAAACCATGTCTTAAGGACCCTCTACCCTCAAAAAGCAGTCTCTACCTATGGGGACCTCAATATTTCCCCTCTAAGTCCCCATCGGTTAGTGAGCATTCAGGTTTAAGCCCCACTGGGATATAAAAACATGGAACATGCACACACACACATATATATCAAGATTTAGTGTACAGCTCTAATTAGAATTACCTGTCATCATTATTCATTCAGTTGATCAGATTAGCTCTGGGTTCCAAGGAAGCACATTGTCCATTTAATTAAAACATAGCGATTAACTTGGGAAGCCTGGTGCTGAGTGGACAGTGAGCAGACCTTCGCTTTGGCTCAGTGCGCCATTAATTAGAGAAAAAATTGGCCCCATTAGTCGCCCTGTCTATTTTCCCTTTGGGGCAACGTCACCTCCAAAGTCAGTGAAAACATAAAATATTTCCCTTGAGTGTGAATAGAATGATGAATAATGCTGTCTTTTCCATTGTGTGTGTTCTACCACCATCTCTGTAAGTGACTTACTGCGTGCAGGAATGTTTGTCCCGGGCCACACAGCTGTGCATGGTGCAGCCTGATTCATGACAAGGCTTTCACATTATCTTTTTAGAGCTGATGGTAGGCTGTAAATTAAAAGTCAGCTGTGCGAAGGGAGCGCACACTTTTTCATATATCATATCTGACTTTTGTCTGCATGTGGTCCCATTTAGCTAAAGTGGTAGATTAATACCAGGCGTATTCCTGATTCCTACTGTGACAATGCATGCTGGAAATTCAATGCAATCATGCAGTATATTTGTTTATGAAGTACTGTTGTGCTCTCGGGTCAAGTATTTAACCATTCCTGGCAAAGAGGACTAAATTATGGACATCCTGATGCAAAGAACTAAATGCAAGTGTTTTCCTTCCCCCCTAATCTACAGTATTTGTTTTGTGGGGCAGTCGGACTAGAGTCAGTCAGGGAGTCTTTGTAAACTTTGTAAGCCTGCATGTGCAGAAAATTTGTTGAGGGCAGCATCTAAAAGTCACAGAGTATTTTACTTTGTGGGCTTGTGATGTTGCTGATCTGCAGGTCTGACCGCAGGATCTGCCCAGTGTGTCAAAAAAGGTCCGTCTTCTCCAACAATCTTGTAATTCCTCCCGTCCGAGGAGGTCATGGCTATATTGAGAGGAATTCCAGGCATAGCCACCGTTTCTACCCCATTAAACTGATCACTGAACACACACAAAGTGTCAGCCCTCTCCGCCTGGCTGGGTCACGGTGCTACGCAATCCTCCTTTGACTGAGTAGGATGTAGTTGAGTGTTATTATACACAGCTTCTCATTTATCAAAATACACCCTCCCACTAAGTCAGTATAAACCTTTACTCTTACAGAAAGTACCACTGGCATGACTTATGTAGGTCATTTACGGGACAGGTGTTTTTTAGAAAGTAAAAGTAAAATTCCCTCCCAATTTCAAAAGAAGAACTGGGCTAATACTGTAGGTGTTGTCATTAGGGAGTATTTGTGCTATTGCAACATTTGCTGCAGGTGGTTTACCTCAGTAACTCAAAGTTTTATCTACCACTTGAAGTTCTTTAGTTACTTTCTGTCACGTTTCTCTCTGTAAATTAAAAGTGCAACCTTTAAGTTCCTTGCTTTCTGACTTTAGTGATATCTCCCTGCGTTGGTGTTTCTAATCTGCACTTCACTTCTCGGAGAACAGTGTTACAAATGTTGCATTACTAAAGGATTTGGGTTTCTGCAGGTAGTGCTTTTTTTATTTGTCAGCCAAGGTACTTCTATTGCTTAAAAGAATTATTCCAACTAATTCTTAATTTCAATAACTAACACTCTGGCATTCCTAGCAGCCTCACGGTAACATCAAGTCTCCAGGAAGTTTCTGTGCCTGGTCAAGAAATAGTCCTGCACATAACATCCGTCAACTTGTAATTTTTACACTTACACTATCATTAGATCACAGCCCATTGTCTCGTATCATCTCACCTGTGATAACACAATGGTCAGACTTGAAATAGACAGTTATTTTGTTCATTTGTCTCCAGAATCATTGGTCCTATTGTTGTTCTTTCTTCTTATGTAGGCTAATATATCACGTCATCATCCGCAGAGGCGAGCCAAATCCATCACAGTTGACACAGCTTCAGCACATGGCTGCAGTGCTACGTGGGGCAACATTTGTTGAGGTCTGAGTCCTGTCAAAGCCGGACTTGCTTGTGAGAGTCTGTGTTTTCAGCTGCTGACTGTTGGGTGCACCTGTGAGAGCAAAAAAACAACAAAAATGCTCTCCCTTTCAAAGCCTCGTACAAACTATAAATCATAGCTTGTGCGGGTACAATAGTGACAGAATTTAAAGGGGGTAAAATGGTACCATAAGTTCACTCAGGAGGAATGGTGTGCTCTGTGATCAAAACTTATAGCCGGAAACCAGCTTTTGATTATGGCAATTTTTCTCTGAAAGATTAGATGTATGTGGTGAGGTTAGGACAACAGCAGAGTTTCGTAATTTGTGTACTTTTTCCAACATTAGGCTACTCCATAAATGAGGATTTCATAAATTGTTTTGGCTAGGAATGTATTTCACACTGAATACAACTAAGGAAGCGTGCTAAGCAGGAGAGTAGAAAACATGTTGCCACTATGTCATGATAGCTTACAGAATATTGCACTTTTCTGTATTTAGAATTTAAGCAACCTGCTGGAAACCTGGAAAGTAAAATTACTCTTTATAGATGAATATGTATACAGCTGTCATTTACATTTCCAAAACTTTTTCACTACATACACAGCATATGCTGACAGACTGTCAGCATATCTGTCCGTTCTAGCTAACTATCATGACGCATACACATATGCCAGCTAGTAGCACTAATAATGCAAACAGAAACAACACAAATTTAGCTCTAGCAGGTAGTGACAAATTACTTCTATGTGTCCCAAATCATCAACAGGGGTCAAGGGTGAAAAGCACCAAAGCATTAGTTTTTAGCATTAAAAACAGTAACGTTAGTATGAAATCCTCTTGTTTTCTTGCAGCCCATGTTAAGAAGATAGAAGCCCCCTCAATCTGGATATTAACATAAGTATGTATGAACTTTTCAACAGTTTTCATTTCTACCTACTGGATGCATGCACCTCACAAAAATTTTGCTTGGAAACCTGTGTTTATAACCCCGACTTAAACCCGCTAGGGTGATGTAAACGAAAGACACGAGACTGGATTTTAGGATTGCTAGTGCTTGATGTACTGCAGACAAATGGGAAACTGAGATATTGGTGTGGCAGTAGTGACAGTTCCCCGGAAATGTGTGTAATTAGCAACCTGCAGTTAAGAAATATTAAAAACAACATTTTCCGAAAGAGGCTTTGTTCTAAAGCTTAAAGTCAGATGTTGAACAGCAGTTGGAAGGTGGGAGGACATAACTTTGTAAAGAAAACCAAAAAATAATTTTCCATTGGCTTCTCTAGAGCTTTTATGAGCAGGAAAGAAATCCCTTTTTTCCTGTTTCATGAATTTCATGACACAATAAGAGCTGATGCTGCTGTGTTTTTACAAGTTCATACCTTGTCCCAGTGGAGTCCCAGGTCCATGTCCAACCTGATCTTGTCCATGTCAGTGTGAAAATAAGGCATGTACCACACTGAAGCTCCTGCTGAAAAGTAACAATGAGACCTGTGGTTGTAAACCAACAAATTGTCAGAAGTGATGAAGGAAAGAAAATAAAAAAGCAAGCCAAAGCATTTGTCCAAAGGTCAGCCAAATGTCAATTTATTAACTTTTGTCTCTGCTAAACATAAACCAACACCAAAACATTTGAGTTGTGCAATCTAAGTCATATCACAAGAGTTTTTCCTTCCACATGATCTGTTCTGACATTGATGGATCGCTTCTATGTTATTTGGCTTGAACAGTCAGGTGTTTACTATGATAAGAGAGGCATGCAGCGCTCATATTTCCTCCGTTTCCAAGCAACAAACTACAATAAAAACAGAACTGCAGCATTGTATCCAACTGGAAGACATGAAAACTTTAGCCAGGTTTGTTTCATACAACTCCCTGTCAGTATTTTATTGACAAGCACCGTTCAGTGGGAGTGTTGCTAATGGCAGTGGAAGACTACAGTTATGAATAAATCACACAGATGAAGAGATGTTACAGAAATCTATTCATCTTCTGAGTATACATGTAAGTTATCTCTGTGCAGCTCTGTGACATGAGGTCACGATACTGTGTTAGTTTATCAGTCAAAAGAGAACTGAATATTTTGCCAACACAGAGACTGGAAAATGTTACTTGTCCAGTCTTTTCATGATGGACTGTAAGGACAAAAAGCATTATGAGGAAATAGACTTAGTCACAGTTTTTTTTAACTTGCTGTGTAAGATTACAAATATGTCTCTGATGTTTACTTTATGTCAGTTCTAATATGCAGCTGTTTCAATGGATTAAATATCACTAATAGGTAAAAACTGCAAAAGTGCATGCAGTATTGTATCTCTTAACTCTGCAGTGTATAAGACCATGTTTTTCTTACTTTACAACAAGGGTCACCGGTTCTTAAATTGACTGACAGCACAACACTGAAAGAAGCAATGGTGTTCTGAGACTGACAGATGGTTTGAGAGTATATTCAAGACAATTATTGCAAATTCAAGTCTACCGTATAATCTTCTTTATGAAGGTAACAAAATATCAAAACCATCCAATTTTTTAAAAAGAGAAACGCGTCATACCTAAAGCTCATCAGAGCCAAAGGTTAAAGACTGCAGTGTGTAAAAGAGACTGCTGGACATGCTTAGTCCTGGTGGGGGGAGTACTTTCTCAGATTCGTTTGAGTGAAGGTCAGCCAGAGGGTGGGATGCATTCATCATGTCCTTAAGCTGAGAGATTGCTGCTTCATTCCTTTGGGGCAGTACCCTCTTTGATTATCTAAACTTGCACCAGAACCATCAGTAGGTCATCCACTAGCATACTTATGTGGGTCAGTACTCTTAACTGACGAAGGAGCTTTGATTCCTCTCCACCATGTGACTTAAGAGTGGAGTTCCAAGACGGATAACTAGCCATTGGAGCCATAAACTCTCCATCACCACCCAGATACAGTAACAACAACAACAACAACAACAACAACAACAACAACAACATTAGCAACAACATGTCTCTAATGAGAGGAATTTGTAATTCTTGCCCCCTCCTGCCATTCGGGGTCATGTTCAAATGCTGAACTTCCACCTGCATGGACTTGTCTGAAAGAAGAGATGAGGTTTCTAGTGAGGCTAATGTCGTCCACATACTCAGCACAGATAGTATCTTCAAGGGCTGTGCTCCTTGAGCTAATGTAGGCAAAAAAGTTACACACATCAAGTACTCTCTCTGTCATTTGAGTCGAGTTGATGGTGTGTTGCTGCTAAAACCTGATTGGGTCCTGCAGTGACGGTACTTGAAAGTGGGAGAATAATGAAGTGTGGTCAAAAGCCTTGCTTATTAGTGTGTTTACCCAGGACTGGTAGGTTCTATTAAAGACAGTTGTGGTTGAGCATGTATGGTGGTGGACGAGTTGATAGTTAACAGCTAAAATGATCTTATTTTTATTGAATGCACACTTTCCCAGGAGTTTTGTTGTGATTCAGGCAGGAAACCTTGTCTGAAATGATTTCAGTTGATTTTGCCTTTAGGTATGACAATAGCACATATGCTAGTCATTACAAATTTGTCTTTGTGAACAAATGGCACAATTCTTGCAAGTTAGGGAGGAGCTTGCTTGTTAGCAAACATCATGTGAATAAGCAACCAAGACTTGCACTAACAATGTGACTTTATGCCAAACAGCATTTTTTTTTGTTTGTATCTGGAAATTTGGAGGCAAGGGATCCCAGAAACTCCACTAAACTTCCTGACCCACAGCTGCATCACTTAGTCTTTTACAGTGTTTCTGCAAATCCCTGTAGCATCACCAGTCAAATGTCACCCTAATCAAATCTTTCAGCTTTTAACCCCGTACCTCTCGTGTCCCATAGAAAATGAATAAAGCTGAAGTTTGTGCCGTACTCTGTTGGTCTGCTTGCATAAAGAAAGTACACGTTTGGCTGATCTAGAAAATGGCTTCATTTGAACTGTCATTTCCTAATTAAAGTCCCATGAGGAATAAGTGCATTTAGACATCCACATTTCTGCTCAGTGTCTCAGTAACAGGCATATGCAGTAATCAGATGAGTATAAACAGCGCATGTCTTAAAGTACTGGGAAATGTAGCTGTTAAATTAGCTGATTAGTAGAAATTAGATAATTGGTGTGCCTGTAAACATAATCATTCAATGCTACATTTCAAGCAATGCTAAGGACTCAGTGGTAAATGTATTCTACTTCAGAGTGGCTAAAGGTGATGAGCAACAGAGATGTTGCCCCAAATTTAAGTCCACTCTAACTCCTTCGGGAAGTTAAGAATAAATGTCTTTGCTTTCATGTGTTTCACAATTGGGCAGTTTTGTCCATGAATGACAAGAAGTTGGTAACAATACAGAATGTGGCCCCAGCTCTCAAATGAAAAACACATTTCTTCCAGCATGCTTACATGCAGATAGACAAACACCAAATAAAAACCACAACCAAAGTAAACCGAGAAAGGAGACTCTCCTTCATGGGAACAAGAGAAACCATGGCCTGTGTGGTCGTAATAATGAAGCAGAGGCTGCCATTTCTACAGCTGCCTTTTGCTGCGGTTCTTTAATAATGTTGCTTTATATATTTTATGAATTTATTTGATTCTAGAGGGAATGGAGCCAAAGGAGACTGTGCAGTTTAATTTGATGTGCTAGACCACATTACGGTGTGCATGCATGTATACAGTATGTGTAAGTGAGTGCATGTGTATTTCTAACATGATTCATTTGTGGTGAATAAAACCAGCTGTTTCTATTGAACAGTGGCCAAGAACCCCATGCACCAGGGGGAATAGACGGTGTAGGAGACCACTGAGTACAGAGTTACCTAACATCGTCTGACCGTCCACTGACCACTGCGCCGGATTTTCCACTGAGGTGACTATTGGTCAGATCTACTCCCACAACAATAGAATAACCCTTTATTTCTTTCAGGGGGTCATATAAAACTTCCCACAGAAACTCAAGTAATGTAACTGGAAATCAAGTCACCCTGAATAAAACCTCACTGCAACATTTGTATCATATTCAGGGACATTTAAAGTGTTTTTATGCAGGTAGGGACTTATGTGTGAAATTATAATGACCTTATGTATGCCATTATTAATCTCATATGACATCATTAGTGGACGAATGAATGCACTTACAATTTTGTAGGGGTATATCTGTAAAATGTCACTGAAATGTTTCTTCTCAGGTTCTGCAAACAGAAGATGTTAAGCAATACTGTACAATTCATCTTGGATTTCACTATTAGGTCAGACTCTAATTTGTATTAATGTTGTTTTATATTACCCATGTGTCAAGAAGAGAAATAAAGTTACAGCGTCTTCTAAGCTGGCCACCACAGAAATTTCCATTTCACAGTAATATGAAAGACCTGTGAAAGGAATGAAAAATATTCTTTTCAGCACTGATAAAAAGAAACTAAAATGTACAGTTAATAAGTTCATAAATGTCATTGATTCTAGATAGTTAATTTTATATTGCAATTCATCAAAATAATGGGGAAATACAAATTGTGTACACATTGTGCGAGGTTAATCAGATGCAGAGCAGTATGTGCAGTCCAGATTTAAAAGCTCATGACATACTAATCAGTAAAGTAATCAGGCTGAGATTGCAAGTATGATTTTAAAAAAACACATAAATAATGAGAAGATAATTATCATGCATAGAAAACTGACCTGGCGGTGCGGTGGTGCAGCAAGAAGGTCGTGGGTTCAAACCCTGGTTGCCCCGGCCTTTCTGTGTGGAATTTGCATGTTCTCCCCGTGTCCGCGTGGGTTGTCTCCGGGTGCTCCGGCTTCCTCCCACCATCCAAAGACATGCAGGCTAGGTTAATTGGTGTCTCCAAAAAATTGTCCTTAGGTGTGAGTCTGAGTGGCTGTCTTTCTATGTGTGGCCTTGCGACCTGTCCAGGGTGTACCCCGCCTTTCGCGCGATGTAAGCCGCTTATCCTGTGACTCTGTACGCAGGATAAGTGGTTGATGATGGATGGATGGAGAAAACTGACCTCTACATGGAGGCGTTTTTAAAAATCCTCCTCCCTCCACCTTTAGACTAATTTCCAAACCAAACTCGACAGATACTGTTATAAGGTTTATCTCATTTTTATCAAAATACATAGCAGATTGTGAGATCAGACATCAACACGAAGTAAAATCTCTTCTATTTGATTGGCTGTGAGTTTGAAAAAACATGCACTGAGCACCTCCTGGGTGAGACTGGGATTAGCACATCTTTCACTTCTTCCTAGTCCTGATGCTTGCGTGTGGTTCCAATAGCATTTTGGCAACAAGTGGACCCTACACCAAGTTTTGTTTCATCTGGATGCAGCACATTAATTATTGCTATACTTACTGCTCTTTTCTAACTTTTGCAAAGATCAGAGACAAATTGCTCTATTCTTCCTCAAAAATTGGATGAGTCTTCAGAAATGTATTGCACTGAGGCTGCCTGTAACCTGTTAATTGACAAACTGTCTTATAGATTGCCTGATAACATGCACTGACCAAACTCAGTAGGTGTACACAATTTCCTATAAAATGGATAAATCTTTGGTGCCAAAAGAAGAAAAACTAAAGCTCTCTGTCACTAAATCATCAAGGATTAAGTTCTGAACAGCTACCCAAAATTCATGTTCAAACTCGATTTAGAAAAGCTGATCCATGCCTGTGTTTCTAGAATACTTGTTATGATATCATATACTTGTTATACTTTTGTCTGCTCTCAGAAAGTTGCATCCCATTCAGCTCAAATCCTAAATCCAATTATCACATTTTTGCATCTGTCAAAGACCACATGTCAGGTTACTGCTCTTTTAAAAATCACAAAGTGGTTTGGGACCTTGGGGGTTGGCTCTGGTCTGGTTGTTCCCAAAATGAAATCCAAACATGGTGAAACTGCTTTTAGCTGCATGTATTTGGAACTTTTAGAAGAGTTGCCCAGTCTGGGACTTGCCTCAAAATTTATAGTTTTTTAATTAAATCTGATTGACCATGGTTTTTATTAAATTCGGGGCCAATTTCATATGTATGCTCTTATTTCACTCTTATTATTTTCTTGACTTTTGCTTTATTTTTCATTTAGTTTGCAATTTGATTCTCTTTTGTAATTTAGTCTAGTTTTAGTGTCTTAGTGTTTTCAGTAAGCACTTTGTATTAAATGTGCTACACATTAAATTTGAGGTAAAATTGTATTGTTATCCATAGAGTGTGTTGGCATTCTGTGCATTTGTCATTAGTCAGCCTTTTCTGTTTAATGACATTAACCCCATGTTTCAGGGTCCAATAGCGCCCACCCCCACAGTCAGAATTTCCTCCCACCTCACTGTGATATTGTTATACGCAACCATGAAATGTGTTGACTTAGAAAATATCAGCAGTATAAGATTAAGGGCGCCATTTAAGTTTTTTTTTTTTACTATTATTATAACGCAATACGTCATCACCACCGCTGGGCAGTGCGGCTGTATCTACTTTAAGTCTCTACTTTTAAGTCAGGAATGTAAATCCAGAGGGATTAGTGACAACACACTGGGCTGTAAACCCTTCAGTAGCTCTCCAAGGGGTCTCTGCTTCAGCGCGTAAAGTTAGGACGGGGCTCCCGACGCACAGCGCAGCACTTATTATCCACAGGCTCCATGTGCGTCACCTCTGCGGGATACTTGACAAGGATCCCTGATATTTTGATACCAATTGCCGCGCGGGTCACTGACAGATGAAAACGTCGGCGTGTTGCTGATGTGAAGTTTTTTTCACTTGAACAGATCATCTGTCCCGGAGCGCAGAGGGGACATGGGTCAACTTTATGGTGCGACTCTTTTACCATTTGGCGCTATCTGTGTTGTTTTCCTGTGGGAATCTGGTGCCAGCTCTATCAGGACGACGCTCGCAGTGGACACCTCGAGGTAAGTCTCATGGACTTGATTAGAGGATCCCTGAAAATATCTCGATCTTTTGAGAATGAACGGCAGCTGATGACGCACGTCAACCTCATCCATAATGAGTTTATTGGGGGATGTAGTGGTTTACAAATCTCGGGGATTTCATCATGCAAAACTCAACGAAAAGCCTAAAGAGAACGTCTCACAAACAACAGTAAAACCACAAAAGTCTGAATAACAGTTTACTGATGATCTAGAGCCGTTTTTAAGCTGAATATGAGACCAAAGTTTTGGGCAACACCCGCTCCACTTACATTAGGCTATATGTGTTGGCATTTCATTTAAACTCAAAGCACCTCGCTGTCAGATTAGCACACAGTGCCAAAAACCTAAAGTTTAGTCTATGTTTTACTGGTTTCTGCTATTGAGAGCAGGCTGTCAAAGAGGAGACCCCTGGATGAACCGCTGTAGCGCGTCTAATCTAATGTGATTTTCAAGGAAATGCAAAAGGCAAAGGGAAACTCCAAATGGTTGGAATCGGTCGCGGTGCATAGAGCCAAATGTTTCTTGTGCTCAGACATAACATGACAGATGCTATTAAGGTGCCCGGAGACGGTAGGTCAGGAGGTGAGGAGAGGATGTGAGTGGAGCACATGCACAAGATATTCTGAGGAGAAGAGGAAACTGCTGAGCAGCAAGTTAAACCCGACAATAAGCCAACAGTGTTGTTTTTAGGTAGACCTATACATTCTCTACACCATGTCAAAGTTACCTCATGCTTCAAAGGTTCAGTGTAAACTAAACCACGTAAAGTCTTCACATGGTTGAGCTGAAGACTGGAAGGCCTAGCTGTATTAGTGATTTTTCCCCGGCTGTAAAGTTAATAAATAAAATCAGACTTGTAGGTTTTATATATGTTATTTTGGTCTTGATATTCACAATGTATAATGTCATGTTCATGGCATGTCTTGCTGTATAACTACAGGAGAGACATTTAGTAACAGTGTACATTGCAGAGTTTGTCCAGCAGAGAGCACTGACAGGTTTTTCAGCTATAAAATGTAAAAGCCTAATTTCAGCTATTTTCTGGGCTGCACCTAACATTATCGACTAATCTGCCAGTCATTTTGATTGATTGGTTAATCATTTGGCCCATAAAATATCAGAATATAGTGAACAGTCATAATTTTGCTGAGGCCAAGGTGAAGTCAAAGGCAGTAGTCCAAAACCCACATTCATTTAACGCTATTCAATTTCCAGAAATCATCACATTGGAGAAGCTGGAGCATTTCAGTGTTTGGCGTCTTTTCACCCAAAACAATTGCTTGAACAGTTAATCAGTTACTAAGTCGATTGACTTATCGGTTCATCGATTAATCGTTTCAGCTTAAATGTGTTTTTGTTAAAAAAAATATATTGTTATCTGGTTTCTGAATCTCTTAAATATCTATATCAATATCAGCCTCAGATCTCCAGGATCAATCGGGTTCTAGTGTGATGCTATGTATGTGTAATAGTGCATTCTGTACAGAGAAAATGGGGACAATTTAGCCATTCGTGTCAAAGTACTATTGAGGTTTAACCCCCTGATGGTTTGGACAGCTGTTCAGAAACTATCGGGGAGCCCTGGTGGCCTGGGGATTAAGGCACCGACCATGAACCGCAACGTACCCTGTTTCCCTGTGTCCCCCCCCCCCCCCCCCCCCCATGAGTATGTGTAGACCTGCTGGAAAACTGTGTAAAAAGTGCCAGTCACATTTGTGTCTTTCTTTTGTCAGAACGGAGTGTCCAGATAATAAAATCTTGACCGTGGAGTATCCCTGTGTCAGAGCTGGGGGGAAGAACAGCACTTGCTTCAGGTAAGACTCACAACTCTCCCTTGTGGTGACCCACAGTGGTGCCCTTGGGTCTAATGAGTCTGACCCACTGAGTGAAACAGCAAGGAGTTACTGCACATTATACATATTTTGTTATTTAGCTGACTGCCTTTCCCAGAACAGTGATTTGTTCAAGGATACAGACGGGACAAGTGGTTGCTGATGCCTGATTGAACCTGAAACTTTCTTGGGCTTTGGAGCAGTTTCTGTAACCACTAAACCACCCTGCTGTGTCATTTCCAGAACTTCATGCAGTACACCCCCTTTTTGGAAACTATATATCCACTTGGGAGAGAATAATAATAATTTCCTGAAGATCATCACTCAGAGACTCAATGATGATCTTCACTGAAGAACTGAAGTTTGTTGTCATTTGTCAACCAACAGCAGCTACACTTGTTGTGAAATGTTCACTTATCTTGTCCTGCAATTTTCATCTGCACTGAACTGAATTCCACCCGCCTGGCTCTGTGACAGTAAAGGAGAATTTGAACTTGAGCTCCCACTCTCTCAGCTTGAGTCCAAAGCTTAAACATTTAGGGAAGGCTTCCCCCTCGGGGAGTGAGGCCTGCATCATAACCTAAAATGTAGAAGTAGTCTGACAGGGTTATTTTTATTGCACTTATCCATTTAGAGAAACCATGCTACAGACTCCATAAAGTGATTAACAACACCAAATTTGGTTGAACTGTTGACTCATCAGTGAATAGAGAAGTATTTTTTTAATTTAGAAAAGGGCAAACACTAAATAAATCAGGGAGGAGGGGAATATCGGGAATTGTTTCCTTTCTTACTCTTCTTTCTCTATTACTTACAGTCTCCAGGGTCTAATTTATTAACATATCCTTTGATATGAGCATCTTGAAATATAGGTCGAAGGAAATAAATTAATTCAATACAGACGTTGTGGAAGGTTGTAAGACTTTTAGCTCATGATACATCATACACAACATGAGAAAATCAATGTAAATCACTC